GCTCGAATCTCTGCTTCTCAACAACGATGAGAAGTCGGGAGTTCAAGTGTCGATCTTGACATCGTCTGCAAACGACTAATAGAGGAAGATTGTGTGTCGAGGAAGGTGGATTGGGCCAGCCGACGAGAGTTCCTGATTAGGCTATCTTTGCCCAAATTGTGACTCAGATTTCGTCGATTTGGGGACGGGGAGCTTTGTAAATAAGCTTGCCGATTTCAATTCGGAAATCTAGATATGCTTGCTTGATTTCCTTACTTCGACAACGACTTTCTATTTCTCTTCTTTTGTTCTCCCTGATTTCCTCTGAGTCTCGCAAGATCGGAAAACCCAGATTTGTCATGTTCATCCACCACCAGTCTATCAACCATATGAGTTCCAACCACAACATATCCTCCACCACTTTATTAATCATTTTGTACAACCCACAAAACACGAGCTTCGCACAATAGCGAAGAAGAAAGATTAGAAGAATGAATGAATTTGAGAGCAACGACGGCGAGTTTAGAATAACAGGAAGATGGGGGTTCCATGGAGGTGAAGGACCGGCGATGTCTGAAGAATTTTTTTATTTCTATTTTATTTTAAATTTTGGAAATATTTTTAGTGTTTTATTCTCTTTTTTATATTTTTATTTATTTATGTGAAAAATAAATAAAAACTAAAATTGAAAATTACATGTCAGATGACAGATGCCACGTCAATGCTGACTAGATTTTTTGTTAAATACTAATGGTCAACACTAAAGGAAAAATAGTTCGGGATATAAATGGAATATTGGATAAAATAGGACACAAGTGACATTTCTTCGATAGTTCGGGTGTTGTAGTGGTATTAACTCTAAATTTTAAACGTTTAGGTATTAAATGGTAAGAAAAAATAAATTTGAATACCAAAATGTAATTTACTAAAATTAGTAGTAATTTAAACTGGTCGACCCTGAGCTTGTAGGGCCCGGTTCTATAAATAAATCAATAAATAAAATTACAATATTATTTTCAACTAATATTATTTAATAATGGTTGAAATAGAAAGATGAAATAGAGTTTGAATCAAACAAATCAAATCAAAAAGTATCCAAATAGTATATAAATTGATAATTAATCAATTCACTAGACTCACCTAAATAGGTGATGAAAACTTAATTGAGTAGAAGAAAAGAATAATTTTAGATGAATCAAAGAGTATGAAAAAAATATTGTAGAAAAAATATTAGATAGGAGAAGCTTATAATTTTTTAGTCTAAAGCTAAGTATGGTAAAAACTATTGGGTGTGCCTACGGTGACATGCATGTCACGGTGACTTGCACTTTCCAGTAGACCTAAGTTAGGATTAGGTCGACCTCATTTAGAATTCGGTCGACCTCATATAGGATCAGGTCGACCTAATCTGTTGTTTCAGTGTAAAAACAGTTCTTGGTGTCTACTTTGGATATTCATATCATACAATTGGCTAGATGGAAATTGAAAACTAATGACTTGTTTTGAAGCTGGAGTGTCCCGCTACATATTGAAGTGATTGAGAGCTCGGTAGGAAGTCCATTATACCATTTTTGAACCTCATCAAAAGGCTATGCCAAAACTGGGAAACTGCCTGGAAATGGCTAAGTCTGGAAACGTGTTTGTGAAGCTTATTTTGGAGCTCAATTCGAGAAGCATGAATGCGAGTCGAGTCCAGGAGCCTCTACCACGTTAAATGAGGTATGTTTTTATACAAATTCAAGGAATTGGATGAAAGATTGGATATCTGTAAGGCTTCAAACAAAAGGGTCGAAGTTGCTACGAAGTCTGTTTTTCTGGCAGACTTCGAGCACAAGCAAGCAGCCAGAAAAACAGCCTTTGTAGCAACTTCGAGCCTTTTGTTTGAAGCCTTAAAGATATTCAATCTTTCATCCAATGCCTTGCCTTTGTATAAAAATATACGTAATTTAACGTGGTAGAGGCCCCTGGACTTGACTCGCATTCATGCTTCTCAAATTGAGCTCCAAAGTAGGCTTGACAAACACGTTTCAGGCAGTTTCCCAGTTTTCGCATAGCCTTTTGGTCATGTTCAGAAATGGTCTTCTGGACTTTCTATTGAGCTCCCAAGTACTTTAATGTGTAGAGGGACACTTCAGCTTCAAAACAAGCCTTTAATCTCCAATTTCCATCTAGCCAATTGTAAGATATGAATCTCCAAAGTAGGCACCATGAAACTGTTTTTACACTGAAACAACAGATTAGGTCGACCGAAAAGTGCATGTCACCATGACATGCATGTCACCGTAGCAAAGTCCAAAACTCTTTATAATTCATTTACTACTTTTTTTCCTTTTTACTTTTGCTGGCTTTTGCCTAATTCTGGTCAAGATTAAAATATCATTGAAGATGATTTAATTAATTTAGCATTGTTTCCTTGTTGAAAGATGATTAATTGACTAAATTGAATTTTTATTCTCTCTAGAAAATACATGAAAAGTAATTAACTAAACGAGTTATCCTCTCATGCGGTCCATTCGTTTCTTTAGCATTTTGGTTTAATTTTTTAATATTATTATTTTAGATCCATAATCAAAATTCAATGCATTAATTCTCTATTATTATAAATGTACAATAAAATCAATACTTTATAATAATAATTAGATATATACACGATGGAGGTCGGAGCCTCCCGTAATTTGAAGGCCCTGTGCAGGAGGCAGGGGCGGAGGGAGAGGGTAATAGGGTGGGTCCCGGGACCCACCCTGACTCGGGAGAAACTTTGAAAAATTATGTATGATAGTTAATTGATAATGAAAATTATGGCTCGTCCAATTGAGAATGGTTGATTGACAATTCTAGTGTTCTAACATCTATGACCTCATTTGTTAAGCATTTGATATTTATATTTGTACAAAATTCAAGTATCTATAAGTTAGCTTTCTTTTGAAGGGGCGTTGCTAGTAAATGGTATAAGGTCCATTATTTTTTTATCTCTTAACAACTCTAGTTATTGCTACCAAACGATTCTTTACAAAGAACACCATTTAAAAGCCACCAACCACTGAATCGTCGAGTTATTGATACTAAACGTTTCCTTGACAAAGAACATCAGTGGAAAGCGAACGACCAACTAAATGATGAATAATATTTTGAAGTTGCATTAATTAATCTCTCCGAATAACTTGAATTATTGATATTAAACGGTTACTGGTAAGAGACACCATTCAAAAGCAAACTACTAACTTAATCATGAATAATTGTTTGGTACACAAAAAAAGGTATTCTTGATAGTTTCAACTACTAATGTAGTTTTATTTTGGGCAATGTCTATTTTTTACCCAAACCTTTTTCAGATTCTTTTATTTTAACCAAACCTATTGAATTCCTAAAAATTATCCAAACGTTAACTCTCCGTCAACTTTTCTATTAGTAATACTGACTAAGTATGACCATAATGAGTTGACTTCCTACGTGACGGTCATAATACAATCATTTACTATTTTTAATAAAAAGATTATCAAAAAACAAAACAAAATCCCACCCCTCACGTGGACGAAATAAGTAACGGTAACAGAATGAATGCCCAGACTTTGATAAACTATAATACGTTTGGATAATAAATAGAATTTCTATAGGTTTGGTTAAAATAAAAGAATTTGAAAAAGGTTTGGGTAAAAAATAGACATTGCCCTTTTATTTTAAAAAAGTTCAAATACAAGATTGTATCATAGCTAATTAAAATTTAACAAAAATGACCCACCTTAAAGGCTTAAAGAGAATCCAGGCTACACGCCTACACCCCTGACAGGAGTGCCTCCCGCCTCAACCCCAAGATCAATTCTGAATTTAAATTACAAATGTTAAAATTTTAGGGTAAATATAATTTAATATCCAAACCTTTCATTTTAAACAATATAATAGCCAAACCTTTTCGAAAACAATCTAATATCCAAATCGTCAACTTTCCGTTCGTTTGACAATTAGTTTACACTTCAAAACAGCTTTATTTAGGGGAAATTGTCATAATACAACTTTGTTTTCTTGTTTTGGCTTTGCAGATGACTGAATATTTAGATATTCTATACCATCATGGTGGAGTCATAGACTTCTCGGGTTTGGAACTAAGATATGTTGGTGGTTTTTCAGAGAAGATATCGATGGATATTGATGAAGTGTCGTACTTCGAACTTTTTTGAAGTGTCAACTAAGGGTCAAACAGACAAAAAGTTGACGATTTGGATATTAGATTGTTTTCGAAAAGGTTTGGCTATTATATTGTTTAAAATAAAAACTTTGGATATTAAATTGTATTTACCCAAAATTTTAAATACATTATATTTGAAATACACATCCAAACGCCCCAAACTTTTTTACACTTATTCCGTACTTTGGTATTAATAAACTTTTTCAACCACGTGATTACACTTTCTAGAAGACTTTGATTTCAAATTGACAAATTGGCAATTTGTATGATCTCGAAACTGGCGAGCCAACGAGCTGTGTCGATCGACGGTGGTCATTCGGGTCCTCCATGGAATAATAGTGGTCGCGGAGTCAAAGAGCCTATTTTATTGATTTTTCGTTTTGGGATCTTGTGGCCTAAAGCAAAGAAGGTCCGGTCCCTAGAAGGACCCGCGTCCACTTCTAAACTAAATTACATTCACTTTAAGACGTCCATAACTAATAAATGAGTCACACGAATGTGCTAGGTCTATAAGAACGCCATTAAATCACTAAACAATTTAAAATCAAATAATTTTTGCATTCGGTAATTGCACCACCCTTTACTTTACGTTCCATAAGAAGGCCTTCAAATCAAACCATATTTTAGCTTTCGCTAATTGCACCACCCTTTACGCTCCGGCCTTCACCGGCGGCGACCCGAACAATACGGCGAAAGTCAGTCAAAGTCAAATCTCCATCGCCTTCCCCTAATTCATTAAATACCACCAATCCTCGCTTTCGAACTCTGCACCACAATCCCAATCCCGCCTATAACTCAATCAGTCTCTTCATCTCCAATCCCTCAACAGCCCCAATCCATGGCCGCCAAAGCGTCCCTCCTCTTACTACTCCTCTCCCTCTCCCTCGCCATTTCGCTCGCCAAACCCGACGGCCGCCGATTCTCCCGAACTCTGCGCCCGCAGAAACTGGGGAAGGAGAAATTGAGCCACTTCCGGATCTACTTCCACGACATCGTCAGCGGCCGCAACCCCACCGCCGTCCGCGTGGCCCAGGCCGCCACCACCAACGTCTCCCGCACGGCGTTCGGGATGGTGACGATGATGGACAACCCGCTGACCGTGGGCCCCCGATTGAGCTCCAAGCTCGTGGGCCGAGCCCAGGGGATCTACGCCTCCGCGTCCCAGACCGAGCTCAGCTTCCTCATGGTGCTCAACTTCGCATTTACGGAAGGCAAGTACAACGGCAGCAACCTCAGCGTGTTGGGACGGAACAACGTCTTCTCCGGCGTCAGGGAGATGCCAGTCGTCGGCGGCAGCGGGCTGTTCCGGTTCGCCCGCGGTTATGCTCGGGCGACGACTCATGAAGTTAATTTCAATACTGGCGATGCGGTGGTGAAGTACAATGTCTACGTCTTCCATTACTAGAGTGGGTCTCCAGCCTCCACTGAAGTCGTTTTCCTTCTTTCGTCAAATTTTGTTTCCGTTTGTGTTAATTAATTTTGTCGTTGGCCTTTGTTCCTCGTCCGGTTTATTCGCGAGAGTGACAGATGGGGCCTGTTCACTGCGCGGAGAAATAGGGGTTATATTTTCTGAATGGTTGCTCTAGTTATGCGCCGATTGATGATTTGGCTCAAATAATTTTGTCTACTGACAGAACAGTCTCCGAAATTTGTAGGTGAGTTAACGATACGGCCAACGCCTGCTGACTAATTTGAGTGCATTGTGTGTTTAATTCAGATAATCAACTTGTTAGCTTAGTTTTGAATAGTACAGCCACGTGATATCCTCCCTCTCCCCTTCCTCTTTCACTTTTTCGAATTTGTGTCAGTAACAACTAACACCCAAGGCTAAAAAGAATCAACAAAACTTTGACTAAAAGAAAGGGTAAATCGCAAGTTTGGTCACAATCATTATTAAAAAACTTACACGATTGGTTACTTAAAATATTTTATTTCATCAGTGGTCATCGAGGTTATTTTAATATTTCAGGTTCGGCCACTCTTTATTAGTCTTCGCCAGCCTTCGTTAATGACGTTAACTTTTTGCTCACGTGGCTAACATAAATGTCCAATTACCCAAATTTAACCCAAAAACTTAAAATCCGACCCGCCACGCACATTAGAACCTGCAACGTCAAAAAATAGTCCAACCCATAACACGACTTTTCCTCTTGTACTACATATATTTAATTTGATCCGACTTGACAAAAAAACCCAACCCGCCAGCGAGTGACAAATTTGCTTTCACCTAGGAAAATGAGCTTTGATCTCCTCAGCTGCTAAGTCCCCGCTGGGGATTGAAATCAAACCTATAACCATGGGAAACCTATCTGATCGTAACCGGTTAACGAGGGTAATTACCTCTTTGACGGGTGAAGGAGCGGTACGGGTAATACTCGGTTTCAAAAAAATGGGTAGGGTATGGGTATGGAAGTATGGTAATTGCCAATACACGCCCGTTAGTACTAGGTCGAAACCAATTTACCGGCAAACCAAAAGACAAAGGAACTAAATAAGTTATTTAAATCCCTAGCAGCCAAGAGCCCCCTTACTAAAATCGGAATCTCAACTCCCCCAATTTCCCCAACTCCTCGAAACCTAGAGCAGAAGCTAGCGATCGCTTCGTTCAAACCCCTAAACCTCGATCTTGTCCCTTTATTCTCTGTCTCGACCTACTCCCCTCTCAAGACTAATAGAGGGAAGCAACTCGTGATAGACGAAGTAAAGGGGGAGAGACTAGCAGAGGTCACACCCAAGTTGTTTTCTTCGACATTGCTCAATCTGCCTTACCTACGTCACTGTCTTACAAAGAATTTTCGTCCGATCTGTATTTCGCCTCTGGTGTCGCCCTATATATAAAATGGGGAAGTGAAATGAGAGAAGAGGAGTCAGTAATATGCCATAGGAATCATACCTAGTGGGTACCCGCTGGATAGGGTATGGTCATATTCTTTCAATACCTAGCGGTAATTTGACCAGGTATTTTGCCAAGACATACCCGGCGGATAAGGGTCTGGTATAGGGTGTACCCGCACCCGTCCGTACCCATTGACATCCCTATATCCGGCCGCCGCCAAGCCATGACCTACATATCTTTCCTATCATCTCTCACCTCGTTGCGATCCAATAAAAGGGAATGCAAAAGATCTAATTTTGTTCTCTCTCACCTCGTCCCTCTTTTGCAAACAGTGATGAGGAACAAGGAACAACCCTCTTAATATTTCTCTTTTTCGCATTCCTCCTCTGATTTTCTCTCATCGGTCTCCTCCGTCTAGATTCATGACGATGACATGGGTTCCAATAGATGCTAAGGGGAGGAGACGAGTCGTCGACGGATAGGTCGTTGACGACCAGACTTGGCCAACATCGATCCCAACTAGGTGGTAATTTTGGGGGATTTCGTCTCCAAGGAGGGAGAAGTTGCCAATGGCTGGAGATGTTGTCGAAATGCTGTCGAGGTTTTTGGACCAACGATCGAGGAGAATGCGGTTGAGGTGATGGTGGAAGTAGAGGAGAATGTCGTGGTGAGAGATGACCCCAATGTAGAAGTCCATTGGGGAGCAGAGTAATCTGCACAAAGTGAATCTTCACCCAGGCCATCACTTTTGCTTTCCCCCCCCCCCCCTAAGCTCAAGCTTTATCAAACACTGAATCTGATCAAATAAACTTTCTATCAAAGTTTCTCTAATTTCTTCTTCTGATTGGAGATATGGGAGAAGCTACAACGAGTTTTAGGCACGAAGATGAAGTTTTCTACGGGTTTTTTTTCTAGGATTTTCGGTTAAGGGAGAGGGTGAAACAGGGAGATGGTTTTTTTTTTCTGTTTAAGACCTAGGATTAAAACTTGGATGAGGTTTTAGGAGAGGTATGGGGTTAAAATTTTGGAAAGGTAGGAGGGAAGGGCATATTGGCGGATTTTTCGAGTAGAGTGAGAGAAAGGGGTAGTCTCGCGGTAGTGGGTCAGGCGGTGACTGACCTTTCATTCAGTGGGAGGTGGAGAAGAAAGAGGAGTGGTTCAAGTGGGATAGAGTATAGGGTCGGGTCATGGGTTGGGAAGGGTCGGGTCATAGGTTGGTTTGTTTTGATGACTTGGAGGGTTTTGATGATGTGGCATGTCTGGTATAAACATTTTCGGATTAAAATAGACTAATTATGCATTTCTATTAGCCATGTCAAGAAAAAACTAACGTCGTTAACAGAGGCTGACATACTAGCGGAAAGTGACCAAACTTTGAATATTAAACAAATCTTGGTGACCATGATTGGAATAAAATATTTTTAGCGACCAAACGTGAAACTTTTAGTCATTCCAGTGACCAACCTTGCAATTTACCACTAAAAGAAATAACAAATTCGAAATACATTGAATCGGGTTCCTAAATTTATACAGTTGTCTTCTACGGTATATCCTCAATTTAAAAGTCCTTCATCCACATAAAGAATCGAAGACTCACAAAACCTACAAAGCTTTTGCTCATTGTACCATTCCAAAAAATGCATGATTTTGGCATAAGATTGTCAAATTAGGTTTAGTTATTGAGTTGATCAAGCTAGTGGTTGAATTAGAGTTCAATTAGGTTAAGTCAGTTACTTTGACCTACATATATTAAAGATGAATATCTTACTGGTAAGACGATGACAAATAAGAGACCAAATATTTAATTGCCTAAAAATCTTATCCCTTCACCTATTTTGCCGTATACTCCCCCATCCTTCCCCTCTCACATTTCACCCCCAAATATTAAATGGAGCAGTTTTTTTTCTTCAACACCCTCACCAAAATGAGATCGTGCTATTTTAGACAGAATAAAAAATCCACGAACACACATGCACACACACTGGAGTGTCGAATGACATTGAAAATGGACGAACTTAATACTCTTAATTTCATATTTTTTCACAAAGTACACTAGTTCTCGAAACACAATGGTTCTTACAAAATTTTCCAATCTACAAATGTTTTGCATTGATCGTTGCAGACAAAAGTTATTTGCTCCATCATCTCAGGTGAGAAATGTGATCAACTTTTGCAGAACACTTCATCGATGTTTTGCAGAACACTTAATCGCGCTAGTGTAAATGATCAACCTTTCATTGTGGACACAAGCAATCCACTTAAATCGGTTTAGACTGAACTGAGCAAAGTGCCCCCTATGGTCCCTTTTCAAACCGACTTGTCTCCATGATATGGTTAGGTGCTAGTAGCTTTGAGTGGACCGGTCAAAGGCCTGATTACTTTAGCTTTGAGAAATCCATACTTTGATCGCTTTTTTTTACAAAGATTAAGTACAAATTGCTTAGCCCTAAAGTGATTAATGTACAATATGCTTTCATTAAATAATTGTCTTCTACTACCCATTTCTATCTACTCTCATTTTCTCTTTCCTACAACAAAAGCTTTCAAAGTTTTTTTTTATCTATCCCACAACTCCTCATCTCCATTCCTTCAACCTCACTTTAGAAGGTAAGAACAAATTTATTTAATATGCTTGTGTTTAAGTAGTTTTAGAACACAGTTGTATAAATTGTGCTAATTATTTTTTTGGTGTGATGTCGGACGAAATCGTCCTAATTCATATTAATAATAGAGCGGGATCTTGTAATCCACAAAATATCATACAAGATCCAATGTCTAAGTTCAGGATCGCATACACTGATATGATGTACGCCAAAATGTAAAGAGTGCCCTTTAGAAGCCAAGAAATCAGCTGCCTTGTTTTGCTCTCTATAAACTTGACGAACTTTGATTTCCCAATCTCTAGTAATGAGCTCTCCGAGTTTCGCAGCAAGGAATCCATGATGATGTTATCATCTTCCCAATTGTTCATAATGTTAATCACCTTCATGGAAACCAGATTGAGTTTGATCTTTCTGAATCTTTTCTCTAAGCTCTATCGAGGTCATCAGTAGCTCCCTTGAGTTCTACACAAGTTATCAAGCACTCCCTGAGGTTGCAAGTGAAAGCGTCAAGACAGTTTCCCAGACAGTCCCTAACAAGCCCTCCAACAGTAGCTAACTTTGAATAGCTGATAACAGAACCATCCGTCTGCAGCTGGACCCATCCTTCCTCTAGAGGTTTCTAGCCAATTTCCTGTTTCGTGGATGGCGTGGTGACTAGTCCGAGGCAACAATCATGTGGTCTTTGTGCTTGTTGGTAGATCTTAAACCAAGCTTGTGCTCTGCAGATCAAGCTTGCTTCAGAGTAGAACTTTCCTTCCATGACTTCGTCATTCCTCTGTTTCCAAAGAATCCATCGGACGATTCCCAAGTCGACACCAACATCAACAGGAATGAGATTCCTGCTAATCTAGGACTGAAATTCAAGGCTGGTGTTTTTCTCTGTGACTTTGGATTTGAAGTGAGTTCAAATCCCTTTCGCATTGGAGCAACTCCGTAGAATGTGCTCTGTTGTTTCTATTTCATGCT